GGAGATATGCTTGTGTTTTCAGAGGTAGAGGACCCCAGTGGATCACAGCCAAAATGTAAAGCCCGACCTGTATCCACTCTGTGAACAACCACAGGAAGAATCCCCAAAAGAACAGGAAATAGAAGTGGCTGAAAGAATATCTACAGACAACATATCTTAACTGTTTGCCTTTTACTTTACAGATTATTTTCCAGAACATGGCATTTAAAGGACTCCTTATGGCACTTGGAATATTCAAGATCCTGCTCCTCAATGATGGCTGAGTAGTCCTGCAGCTGAAGCAGACATAGCTGCAAGGACTTCAAGAGCATGTGTTGCATGAACCTATCTGAACACAGTAAGTCAATACATCGGAGCATCCTAGTATTGAAGGAAGGCGTAAAGAAGTTACAAGCTGAAGACAGAAATGACTAGTTGAGTCAACTTCTCAAAAACTGTGGGTTTGTCGGGTTGGTTGCTATCATTGGTTAAAACAGGTTTGCTTGTTCTTATAGTTATTGTTGTATTGTTAATGTTGCTTTGCTTAGTAACTTTTTTTGTTAAGGGCTCTCAGGAAGTCTTTTCAAGACATTTTAATTTTTCAACAGAGAAGGGGGATATGAGGAGATAGAACTGGTTGGGCATTGATTTAAGACCATAGGATGTTAGCAAGTCTGTTCATATAAGGTTATGCTTCCAGAATGTTCTTAGTTTTCTCCCCTGACTGATTGTCATTTGCCACATTATTTTTAATATTTGTAATCTCAGTCTGTGATTGGAACCCTCCCTTCAGACCAACCCTCAAATCTTCCTTATATATCCTGTTGTACCCACCCTTTTTCCACCTTTTGTGGTTGACTCTATACTGTGTATTCACCTTTTGCCATCTGTTATTTTGCCATTAAAGCAGTTTTACTTTTTGGGTCACCCAACCGTGCCTATCCCGTTTATTTGCCACACCACTCCTGGCTGGCCCAGGTCCGAGGTCTTATCCTGTGAAGCACGCAGTGTATCCTATAAAAACCTAGGAATACTCCCTGGAAGAAAGCAATGATTCTTGAATGATAATCCAGGAAATAATTTAAGATTTGGGATGATTTGGGCTAAGGTTTGAAAGTGTTACAGTTACAGGTATTTCCTATTGCCATTTTTCTCTATTTTTTTCCACATACAGGAAGCCAGGTTTGAGTAAGGCTATTGGAATTAATTTTTAACTCATGAAAGTAGCATTGAAAATCACCATGAAGAACTAAATAAACAGCTTGATTTTCTGTTGCATATATGAATAGAAGCTCTGATGTTCATCATATCTGAATCTCAAGTTCTTTCACTCAAGTGTGTCTGATTGTTGTGAGGTGCCTCAGGGAGGCAAAGATTCAGTTTCAGATAAGCATTGTTAAAGTGAGAGGAATGGCTGTAAGCCATGTGTGTGAATTTTGACCCCTGCTTTGGGGGATGGGCAGTGTGAGCCCTGGATGAAGCTGTCCCACCCCAAACCCCTTGTGAGGGGTGTCCCAGGAGTTCTGGTTGGGTTTGGGCCCCTGGGGTTTCTCCCTTGCTATGTTCCTAGTGGTCCCTGATTCTGAACTCCACCCTTTTGTCCATCAAAACCCCGCACCCTACCTTTGTTTGGTGCTCTCTGTCTCTGAATGAGTTTGTTCCCAGTCTGAATAAATGGTTTCATGAACAGAGGCTCATCTCATTCCTATCCTGAGCTGGGTCCCAGTAACTGTAGCTTCCCTGGACATGATCCTATGGTTGCAGAATGCAACATCTGATGCATAAATTCCCAAGAACTTTGGCAGAGGCAAGTGGAGCTGTGGGGGAATTTGAGCAGAGAGCAGCCTTGTTGGTCTGCTCTCAGTCCCTGCTTTATTACAGCCCCTAATGATGAAGCCGCACTGGTTGGTAGGATGTGATGGGGTCTTTTTAGTTTGTTATTACA